CGGTACCTACTCTACTCTCCTCTCTCTCTCNCTCTCTCTCTCTCTCTCTCTCTCTCTACTCTCTCTCTCTCTACGTNTACTATATATATAATATATATATATATATATATATATATATAAATAAAAAAAAAATTAGATATTCAACAATTTGAAAAATGTATAACCTAATATTTTAGCATTATATATACAGACACACAATGGGAACCCTATATCCTGAAAATCCCATAAAATATTGGGGGAAAATAAGATTGTAAGGTCGTGATATTGATAATAACAGAACTCAAGAACCTGACACCCTACATTGAACCACAAGTAAGACCAGACGATTCACAACAGTAAATTGCCAGATTCTAGACAACACGCGCTACTCCTTGCTTTGAGACGATTCCGAATGGGGGACTCCCCAAGCCAGAGCCAACTCGAGAGATTGCGAGTCAAACCACTAGTTGTCAACCGTTAATGCAAATTACAACCATAACAACCTAGAAAATTGACCCAAAAAAAACAAAAAACAGCATGCAATCGAAGATGTTGGTTGCAAAGTGCAAAATCTTTTGCCATGGGATCAACATCCCAAAACAGGTGCTTACCACCTTTTCAATGGAGTCAATCCCCCTTAGGGATCGAGATCCCAACAAGATAGGGTTCCAAATCTTATAATAGCCCACCAATCACAATAAGAGTTCATTTTCAAATACTATACATAGTCTGCTCCTTTTCTGAATGTTATCAAAATTTGCATTAGAGGCTGCTTTGTTTTGGCCCAAATTGGGGGAATTCTTCCAGTATATTTTAAGAGAAAAATAACAATTTTTCAAATAAGATAAAGATAATATTATAATAAATTATCAAATACAAAGAAAATTGTTACTTCAATAAAATATTTTTATGCATTTTACTTTTTGAACTTATAACATTTTTTTATGCTTAGAAAGGTTTTTGTTTTCATTGCCTTTTTTATTCATTTAGAGAGAGAGAGAGAGAGAGAGTACAGTCTTCCTCACCCAATGTCCATATGTACATTCTTCCTGCTAATTGAGAGGGTTTGTGAGGAGCAGATTGGGGGGGAAGGGGTGGGGCAGGTGACGAAAGGCCTGATTGTGGATGGAGTTGGGTTCCGAGTAGGGGTGAGGAGGGGAGCATAATGGTAGGGGGAAGAAGAATAGGAGGAACACAGGATGGTTTGGAGAGAGAAGTTCATAGAGATAATACAGGGAGGGGTAGAAAGGCCTTTGCAAAGTGGAAATCGGATATGGCGAATGGTAGTTTAGGAGGGAGAGGAACCACAGTGTCTGACCAAGAAAGGAATAATGAGAAACGGGCGACAAGGGGTTCAAAATGGATAGAAATGATTTGATATTCACACATCAAAGGGTATCAACCTCCCGAGAAACAAAGATGGGACCTGGGATAGACAAGGGAGGAAGGGAGGCAATGGGGAGAGGTTGAGGAGTTGGAAAGGTGGAGGGATGAGGAAGCGAAGAGAAAGGGTCCACGGTAAAGGGGTGGGTTAGGGAAGAAGGTTTCAAAGTGTTAAGAGGACGGAGTTAGAGAAATTGGGAACTAAGAAGCCTTTAGACAATTGGAAGGCTCTCAAAGAGAGTGATCGACAAGGTGACAATCAAGATGGCATCCGCCTCGGAATGTGTGACCATCCTTTTGCCTATTACAACAGTTTCAATGGTCAGGGAAACAAGGGAAGGGGAAGTTGTGGGAGGTTCAATGTGAAACCTGCCAAGTTTAATAAATGCCTACTTAGAGGTGGAAGCCGGGGAGGGTCATGCTAGACCTCCGGCACTATGGCAGCATGCATGAGAAAGGGTACCAGGCAGAGAATAGGTTCAACAGCCATCCAGCATTGTGCTTAATCCCGTCAAAACTCGAGCAAGAACTCAAGGGGTCACATTGGCGATAGGCCAAGACCAGTGTTTCAAAAAGCGGACCGCCCAGCGCCTGGGCGACCACCTAGGTGGTTCTGGGGGCCTGGGTGCATCGCCTAGGCCTAGGCGCCCAAAAAAAGCGGATATCCATAGGCACCGGAGAACCCGCCTAGGTGGCCACCTGAACCCGCCTAGGCGGCCGCCCAGGGGCGAAAATGCCCCTAATTTAGGGTATTTTTTGGTTTTTTTTTAATACTAAAGGTGCAAAATTGTGGGTTTTAGGTTCATTTGAAACCTAAAACCCATTAGAGCCTATTTTTTAGAGAGAAAAGCCCAAAAAAAAAGAAAAAATTCTACTGAGCCACCCAGGTTCTGGGCGCCCACCTAGGCGCTAAGCCGCCTGGACCCCCCAACCGCCTAGCGCTTTTTGAAACACTGGCCTAGACTATGATACTGAAGAGTCAGCCGCCATACATTGATGACTCATCTACAGAGATGGCAGCTTCTCGAAAGAAGCAAAGGCATGGGGAAAAGGACATGGCATCGGGAGTAAGGGGCAATCAATACCAAGAGGACATATAGGTGCCACTTGGTGAGCGTTAAGAGGGTCATCATTGATTACCTGATCACCTGGCGAATTTTGGCAGCAAGGGACCCAAGGGCGGATAAGAGTTTCCGGTCGACACCTGGCAGGAATCTGAATGTCCCCTAGGAATGAACGATCTACGTGATTTGCAAGTTCCTGTGGTCTACTACTCAAGACCATGGTCCTTGAAGGAATCTTGTTACTTAGGAGTGGGGTGGGTAGTTCCAGGGTCTATAATGACGATACCTTGGGAACCAGCTAGCAAGGTTCAGGGTTTGAACCAAGATTTTGTAACTAAAGTTTCCAAATCCTAAAAAAACAAACAGAATAAGGAATGCATACGAGATGGATTGAACAAACATCGAAAGGAAACCAAGAGGGAGGTTCTGAGAAGACACGAAGACTGAAAAGACCTCCATACATCACGTATGGGCTTATATGTGATAGAATGACAAGCATGGATGCTAAAGCCATGAACATGAATCGATAACCTAGACTGGGCTAAGTCCAAAAAGGAAGGACTCTAAGGTTTAAGGACCAGCTTACCTTTGCTAAAGAAGAGACTCTTTTTAGACAGCCAGGTCCAGTAGCTATTTGGAAAGGAAAGACAAAAGATGGGAATTGGAAATAGGTGGGCACTTGGCAGGTGATAAGCTCGGAGTTTCAGGTGGGTGTAGCCCATTTGTGAATATTTAAACTCAACAATACGGAAGTTTTTAGATGGTCCAGCCTAGACTGGATAAGGGTGCCCTGGAAATGGATGTCTCCTGGTCCTCTAGCTCCAGCAAGAAAGAGCGTGCAAGAAGGCTGGTTTGCGTCAGCCTTTCAAGGGTCAGTAGTGGCTAGAAGTTATGGGTTAAGTAATGAGGCTTCTGTGTATGGCTGGGGGTATCTGGAAAGGTTGTGGTTTAGGATGTTTATCATATTCGGTGAAGGCCAGAGGCTGGGCAAGGCCATTATGTTGAGATTTAATATGTTGAGATTTAATAGATGGACATAATTATGGTATAACGGTGGCGGAGGAATGCAGATTAGAAGACTGGTGGAGTGTTAATTGACTACAGATCTGCCATTAAGGTTCTCTAATAGGAAAGGTTCAGAGGGAACAACTTTCTCGATGGTAGATGGACTGAAGAACCTGCAGTTAAAGTGTTGCTTCTGAAATGAAGAATGGGGGGATCGAAAATAAGAACCAGCCCTCTGGGACCGTTTCATTGAACAAGAGTCCTCCTGAAGGGGGAGGGTGCAAGGTTTAGAGGGTGCAAGAGAACATACAGAAGGGCCAAGGGATTACCAATTTAGAGATGAAGTAAGATGAAGTACAAAAGAAGGAAGAAACCTTGCCTGGCTTGGCTTAAACATCATTCACAAATTTCCCCATATTCATTGTCCACAACTTCCTGCGAACTTTTTCTCTTCGGATGGGGGAGAAAGCAAGTATTCTTTGAAAGACAACCAAGCTATAGCTTTGGTATGGATATTAATGCAGCCAAAAATGATGCTTTCCCACGCAGAGAATGCACTACTTTAGAAAAATAAACATCGATACCAAGACATCATCTATAAATATTCATTATATTATCTACGGTTTACCCAATAAGAAACTTAAGAACAACGTAGGTATATCAAATAAACATGCAAAAACAGCATAATATAAATCACAAACAACATAATATAAATCACATTAGGAGGCTCAATTAAGCCCATTAATGATTCTCAACTTTTTAGGCAAATGTCAGCAATAAATGGCATTTTACAAACTTCAGAAACTTGAAAGAACGTGTAATAGAATAACTCAATCAAAAACTTCTCTGAAGAAAATAGTTGTCGAAAAGATCATACATTACATGATCGCTTCCATGCTCTTCTTCCAACTGCAGTTGTGTAAGTGAAACATCAAATCCTTGTGGTGGAAGGCTGAAAAGCTCTCGGAGATCCTATATTACAAAAGTATCTTAAGATGTTGCCAAGAAATAGGAAAGATCATGTATGCCTTCTACTATAGGATGGATAGAAAATAAAAATGAGGAAAACGGGCAAAATTTGCCTAAAAAACAGAGACAGGTGTTTGTCACATACTCTCTGGCTGAAATATCTAGTCTGTTCTTTGTGCTCTGTTGCAATTTTGGACAAGCCTCCTTTGAAAACCTGCCATGCACATCAAAACTAGCTTTAACATAGCCAAATATCAACAACAAAATAGCATAAGGATTTTTCCCAACAGCTTAAATACTTTGAAAGCTCCAAACAAGAAATTCAAAGCAACAATGGAGTAAAAGTCATCTAGGGAATATATCCCATGCAACGATGTAAAATGTTCATAAGGATAAATATATATGGATTCAGATAGAGAGATCCCCAAGCGCACCATACATATTCTTAGGGAACCCCGCACACATGCCCATGGACATGTACTATGGGAAGGCAAAATATTTTTTCTTTTCATATGTAATTTTTCATTCATAGCAGATGCACACATCAAGTTGTACCCAGTTTGTGTTGTAGTTACGGCCTTCTAAGGCCTTGACCACATCACCTTTATAGCTCTTGATAGCTCTTGGTAATAGTAGGAGTGACCGAGAGCAATGTCACTCTAGGATCTTCATGCATTAGGAACAAAGAGTCACAAACCCCAAGTGTCATGAGGCCAGTGTGTGTGAGGCACTCAAAGCGTTGAGGATTACCTCTAGTCAGGGTTGGTTGATTTATGCCTCATGACTATGTGATGGTCAAGGCACTGTGTATGAGATTGGTGGTGATATGAGCTTAAGTATTTAGTGTTACATTAGCCTTATATGAGAAGGTTAAGGCTTTGAGAGGACATAAGCCTAAATCTCTGACCCCGTAACCTTCTTATAGAATGAACATAAACAATCACAAATGGGCACTCTTCCATAGTTGATCCACTATGAAGAGAAATGCACCTGTGCCAAGAGAGGACCCCCGTATCCACAAGAGTGCATATAGTCGGCAGTGCACCTATAGTCCACTTTACAACCTAAGGGTCTCGAGCCACATCTTGGAATGAATTTAACAGCCAAGCATGAGCCCCTGCCTGACACTGTGGGCCACGGGTTTGTCTGGTCATTCTGAGAAGGTAACTTTAGATCCTAGGTCTAACTAAGTGGAGTGCTCCAATGCCCAATTCAACACCATGGACATTTCACTTGTTAATATCTATATATAATGTCAATTTATGTAACTATGATAGAGTGTGCTTTGGAGGATTTTTTTGGGATATTTGAGAATTTTTCTGGATTTTTTGGATCAAATATAACAGAGTTTTGAAGCCGTGCTATGAGAAATGACTAGGGACACAACCCTGAGTCCCACACATGACACCCAAATGGCCAGTGGGTGCCACAGGGGGGCTGATGTGGCACCACATCGCAACCCCATGGGCATGACATGGTAGTGAAGTTAATGGTCCATGGGACTGCCTTGTCTTTTTGAGATTTGTTATAATGTGTTGAGATTAAGTGAATTTTTGTGATATTTTGAAATATTGAATTTGATATTTTGAGATATTGAGAAATTATTTTGAGCACATGTTTAACGTGTGGGATTGGTTGGTTGTTTGCAAATGGGGCGATCTTCTAAAAGGGGTATAGGGTTTAATTACAATTGAAACCCTAAGCCTATATGGATTATGCATCTAATCATTCCTACGTGACATTATATGATTGGACGCACATGTACACCAAGGTGACATGGAATTGGAGAAAATTCTCAAATTCAAATCGCTTCTGGAACATGTAAAATTACATGAGGGGTAAGCCCCTACCAATGCTGTCACATATTAGTAAAGTGAGTTAGCATATGCAATTGTAGAAGCAAGTTAAATTTAATGTGAATTTAAGTTTGAGATTAATGAAGAGAAATTTGGTTACATGAATAGTACTTTTTTCCCGTATTGCAAATTGTGAATTTAGGGTTTATTAAGAGAATAATGGTGTTAAATCTCATCCACTCATTAAGATGGCATCATGAGTGATGAGTGGCTAGGATTGAACTCTTTCTCTTACCATGGATGACTTGGGCTAATGGTCAAGGTTAACTCATCTAGAAATATCTACTACACGAGCCTATAAAAAGGCACCTTACTCATTTGTGTAGAAAATTCCCCTTCCAAAAAGGCACATTACTCAATGTAAGTATGATCTTTAGAGTGAGAAAGAAAGAAGCAAAGTGTGAGAATTGAGAGAGAAAATTAGATTGAAGCTCCATCACAGCTTCATCTTAAGCTTGGAGGTGAAACCCTAACTCCATGATAACTTAATTTTGGAGAATTCTTCATGAAGCCATGCATCCATATAGTCTTTCATGACTGTAACACATCATTATATTCCCTTACCTTCTTGTTTTATGAGAATTTGGAAATCGATCATTGATTATGAGCCTTTGATTCCTAATTCTTTGATTCAATTTTGGAGGGAATTTGATGGAGCATTTTTTGGATTTTATTGACTGATTTCTCTGCACCTTTTTGGATCCAAATCACTCAATTAATTCATCTTTTTTATGATCTAATTTGGTAAATTTTTAAGAGGAAACTATGCCAAAAAATTTCCCATGCCCATTCTACTTTTTTTCTTACCAAATTGTGAGTGATTCAAGCCCCCTTTTTCTCCCATGATTTTATCACATTTTGGATCCAAAACTCTTGAGCCTTTCTTGTGTTGAAAGGTGCCACAAAAGTGATTAAATGATGCTTAATTGCTTCCTATTGAGATGATGTAAAATTGGCCTATATCTGGTTCTATCCAAATAGTTATTCCATGGTATGTAGCTAAGACTTTGGCTGTAAACCAGGCACAAAGAGCCCACTTATTTTGGTGAAGAAGGAGATCGCATTTGAGGCATTTGATATAACTCCAAAGTGATGTATAATTTGGCAAGATCGTTTGTATAGTGTTGTATTTTGTAGCACTAGAGTATTGTCTATTTATTCAATCTCCAAGGTGTATTATATGTTTGGACTTTGCCAAGGGACCTAATGGTGTTGTATCCTTCCTTTTAAGTATATGAAAAGCCAAGTTTGATGGCTGCAAACTGTATGTAACTGTCATATTTTTTTGTGTAAGGTCCATGTAATTGTGAAGTATCTTGTATTGAAATGAGAAAATTTTACTGCTTTACTTCACTTGCAAAAGCTCTTGTTTGAGAGTGCTTAGCAACAGCAAAAAGCCCAGCCAATAGTTATACCTCGCTACCACTGGCTTCACAACAACAAGAAGCCCTCGTTTTAGAGGGCTTCGACAAGACTTGGCTCTCTCTCCTAGCTTTTGCTTCGCAACAGCAAAGAATTGTCACTTGGCTTAATACATTAGTTGAGTACAAACTGACAAGTATACATGAAGAAGAGAGAAGAGATAAAAGAAAAAAGATTTTAGGAAGGACTAAAGAAAATGACCCAAAGGATGGGTGTACTGAATATGTAAAAAATTCAAGGAGCTTAGCTCCACTACATACTTGACAATACAGACAGTAATGTCATTAGCTTCTCATCAAGTATGATCAAACTTACACCCAACAGAATCAATCAAAACCAATACTTCCTCTGTACTGCTTGACACCCAACAAATGACTTTAAGGAAATAAACTTTCAACAATAAGCAAAACTGAGAAGGAACTGATCCTCTATTCAGACAGCTGAGTGGATGATTCCACCACAAATAAATCCTTGATTTGAAACAATACAAGGGATGTCACAGCTATAAGCCTACAACTGAAGCCAGGACCTGAAAAGCATGAAAGAAAAACCCTTAAACTCTCCTGGTGCAATCTCTAAAGACCCTATCCTCCATGCTAGTGCAAGATAAACCATGAGCTCTCATCAATGTCAAGCTTGATAGGTTAAGGCAATGGAAGAGACCATAATGGACATAGTCATGAACTGTGCTCTACACTAACACTAGTTGTCTTTCAGTCAAAACTGAAGTTAGGCCCTCCCACTAGTGGAACTTGGAATAACTCTAGCCCAAGAAATCGCTACCTGCCTAACTCTTTGGCGTAAGATCATAGATCATCCTAGCTAAGAGAATATTCTCCCTTTCCGCTCCATCAATAATCCCAATGGAATTACTGGATGATATAATTTCCATAACAAACATCTCTTCCAGCAAAGGATAAGCTCCCCTATAGAAGCGGGCATCACCAACCTTGCAATCCCCAGAAAGTGCGAGACCAAGGGGCCTTCTAACACAATCTTGACAGAACCACACTCCTAAGTCAACAATTAAATTTTCTATGTCACTCTTCCTCACAAAATAGTTATCTACCTCATGTATTTCACTATCAAAGCTTGCATTCATGTATGTCAAAGCTAATCTGGAAAAGAAATACAAATTGAGAAACTATTTCGTAAGGCTGCATCTTTACAAAGCTGTACCTCAACCTTGTAACACCTTTCTAGGTAGTCAAGTTGAAGTGTTCACACACCAGGCAGATATACACCATTTTAGGATCTTCAAAGTCCATAGTCAAGATGGAAATAGATTTGCAAGCCAACAAATGGTTTCCATTGCCAAACCGTCCGATTGGGGTTTGAGGTGTTAAAAAATATCATAAAGCCACGTCCCTACAAAAATCACATCCAGTTGAAATCTTATTTGCATAAGGGATGACCTTCACATTAAAAAAAAACCATTATTATTAAATGCTAATTAGAGAGTAACAATTCCAACTTCCAACTCATATCTTCATAAGCTCCAAGGTAAGTCGAAGCAGCAACCAATTGCTTCTTTCTATTCAAACAAAATACTTTTATTAAAACAAAGGTTTCCATAAGGATGAGCTACACTTAAGATGGACACAAATATCAAAGTGATTTATAGAATCTCCTTAAAAGATGCCTAAGGGAAACCCATAGTTGTTGGAAATGCCTAGGAACCCGAATAGTTTTAGGAACCAGAATCCCTGCCGGCTAGAAGATTCCTGTCTCAGGAATCGTTGTCCGTACAATAGGAATCACTAGGAACGAGATTCCTAGTTTTTGAGAATCGTGTTTCGACCAAAATAGATTCAAGTTTCATCCACCTATAGAATCGAGATTCCGTCCTTAGAATCAGGATCCCATCCCCCTAAAATCGACACTCCAAGAGTCAAGATTCTTTAATATGCATAATCGAGTTTCTGACATATATGGAATCGAGTTTCTGACATATGTGGAACATAGATATGTTGTCGTTTCGAATCGTGATTCTAACATATTTGGGAATCAAGTTTTTAAAGTATATAAATCAAAGATCCATGCCAGTTTGAGATCGAGATTTACAATAATATGGACTATGAAATGTGTTTGACGACCCCTATCAAGAATCAAGATTTTATTTTTATGGAGAAGGAAGCGACAAGCACATCTTGAGCCTCATCAACTTTAGAACCTATATTGGATATCTCTTATTAGAAGGTTTCCTGAATTTTAAAGTGATTGTGTTGACTATTGAACTTATGGTCATTATATACAAAAGGTAAGTATTCCTAAATTGTGATTTTGACTTCATTATTATAAAGACAAAATAGGAGTATGTCTACGCCATGCTTTTACTTTTAATTGTATGTGTTGTATTTATCAATTATACTTTAAATTTAAAGTAAAGGCCATCCAGAGTGGCACAAGTAAAATAATGAAACCCTGCAACCACTAGAAGCATTCAAAGGAAGATTTCTACTCCAATTGACATGGAAACTAGATTTAATCCTCTCTAGAATCCAAATTCGTTATATTTGGGAACGTCTACCCTCAATTAATGGGTTTAAGTTTTCAAAGATGTGTTGGATAGAGATTCTAAAATTAAAGAATTGAGTTTCCTTGGTTCCAATAAATAGTTTCTAAAGATGTGTTGACGCGAGATTCTAAAATTAAGAAATGAGTTTCCTTGCTTTCGAAAACAAGTTTCCAAAGATGTGCCGAATCGAGATTCCAAAATTAACGAATCAAGTTTCCTCGGTTCCGAAAAATGGTTTCCGTGGAGATTCCTTAACGCAAAGGCGGAATCGGGTTTCGAAACCAGAAACGCGAGGTCAGTGGAGAGATTCTGGTAACTATGGGGAAACCCCCCCATGCCGGCTCTGCTCTGCATCAACAAGTATCCTTCCTGCTGCATCATGGATAATGACATCGAAAACAGCTTTATCGAGCATTTGCTTTTGCTAAGTCCATTGTATTAATGTGTGAAAATTGTACAAAGGGAAATATACAAGACTAGAAGGGATTCAATACGAGCTCAACGTGTACAAATGCCCTCACGAAATCTCTGAAATTACATTATCACAGGTCTCAATGTGAGGGTACAGGTCCCATTGCATGTAAATAAGAAGCTCTCTAACATTCCAAAGAGGAGTTGGGCAGGTGTCTAAGAAACTTCAGATTTTCCAAATAATCACCTCATTAGTGCTTGAATGGATTAATTCCAATTCTCTTTCGCTCTCTGATTCCTTTCTTGCCAAGTCACCTATGTAATGTAAGGGAGGGAAACCTTCCATAGTTTATCAAAGAACATGCTTAGGAATTTCTTTTTGAATCACTGTGCAATAGACTCTGGGTGTTGAAGCTATAGATGTTACTACGTTAACAAAAACTCACCACAAGGAACGTGAAGGGAGTGGAAGCAAATGCTTGGGAGACTAAGCTCATACCTATCAATTATAATGGAAAACGCTGCCATGGTAATGAGTCAGACTTTTAGGCATTTGCTACTTAGTCGGGGCATGTATTAGCCATATTAGGTCATTTGGGTATTCAGCTTTGACAATTGATATGCACATTACCCATTGCTTTTAGCTAAAGCAAGCGATAAGATTATTTCAAACAAAGACACAAATTGTCAGGAAAAATCTTTTTTCTGAAAATGTTATATGGTACCATAGGAGCAAAATTTACATTTGCTCCCCAAGCTAGGAGTTATTTTATGACCCCAAAGTTTTGGATGTGACCTATTCAACCTTGAGACTGGCCTAAAAAGGAAAAGATGAATACACCCCCTGCAACTGCAAGAAAAAACAAAAACAAAATCATGCCCTAGGATTGTACATAGACCATCCAATTCTTCAACGGTCAATCTAGGTGTCTACGGGTGGCAATAGACCCGACCAGACCCAGGAACCGACAGGTAGACCTGACCTTGGGTCTGGGTATGGGTCCAAATTTTAGACCGGGTCCAGTCAGGTGTATGTGGATATTCATAAATGTTGCCACTACGTTTGTTTCTTAAGAATTTCCAGTTATTACATAAAAAGGTAAGGAATGTGGGTATAAATTGATGTTCGTAAATGTCGTGAAATACTATAAATGTTGCCAATAACATGGGTGTATGATGATAGATAAAAAATGGCAAATAAAAAAAGAAGCTCATAATCATAGCCCACATGTCTCACATAAACATTAGGGTGGCAATGGACCCGACCAAACCTGGGACCCAACGGGAAGACCCGACCTCGAGTCTGGGTATGGGTCCAAATTTTAGACCCGAAAGGTCGGGTCCGGGTCCAAAACCTGGACCCATACACTATTCGGGTCCAAGTCCAACCGGACCTGGCCTGTTATCTATAGGTGTCTAGATAATCTTTTTTTTTTTTGTTCCTTTTTCTGGGAAAATACTAATCTGGTGATCCAAAAGTAGATCCCTAAATTTCATATCATGGAAATCCTCCAAGTAGGTCATTTACCTGAGTAAATCAATTTTTTGCTCTTGTAGAAGCTTAGTATACATGTTCTTTTTAAAAAAAAATTGTGGTTAATGTTATTTAGTCTCGAATCACCCAATCTACAATTCAATAAAATGTGACATTAACTCAACTCAATTAAACTAAATCCCTGATGCACTAGAGCAAAAACATATCCCACAATCTACTCCATGCTTTGGAACACAACTCCAAAAGTGAATGCGGAAACTGATAGAATGCATCGATTATATCATCGACATGATCTATGGACAGGCAATCTGACTTTTCATCTCCCTAAAAAACAGCATAGCATTTTTTTTTAACCCCACGATCCAAATGAGCAGCATTAAGCCAATATTCACTAGTCCAAGGGACAGTATGAAGCGATTGGCTTGTCAAAGTGCCTTTCTTCGCCATGCAAGCTCCACCACATTCAAAGTGAATAAATATGTTGCACTCACTAATGTATTGTTGCCTGTAGCCTACTGAGTTGAATTGTCGACCACATTTGATAATTATGTCTGCATCGGCCCGTAAGTATGAATATGGGTTAAATGTTTCTCTTTCCAAGGACATTCAAGCTGTCATCATTGGTCTATAAAGTCCATGTGAAATGAAGACTTTCCCAACATATGAAAGAAATTGCCCACGTCCTGCTTTTTTTACAATTAGGAAGTGACCAAACATCACTAGTCAAAGTATCATCGGCCACACATGCAACATCATTCAACAATCAATTGAAATTGTGTGGACTGCTGTCTAGAGACTGGACACTACTTAGATCAGTAAAACCATATGTCATAATAACTCAAAGAACGCGCCTGGCCATGTGCACATGCCCAACAGCAAATAGAAAAAGAGCAATGCTTTGCACAAACAGAGACTATCTAAATAAATTCTCACTTGAAATTTAAAAATCAAAAACATCACTCACTTGCATTTTATATATCTTCTCTTCTATGGTGCCACAAGTCATCAACCGATAGACAAGGACATCTTTGAATTGCCCAATTCGATACGCACGATCAACACTTTGGTTGTCCATGCTGAAGAATATATTAGTAAACAGAGCCATCCAAGAAGATTAAGACACTTATATTAAGATATAGTAACCAAGTCAGTGCCAAGATAATGCAAATTTAAGATAATTCGAACACAAGACATAACTCGTATATTAGAAATCCAACCGAGGACAGACCTCACATTTAAGCACTTAAAAAGAGGGATTATTCTACATTGACTAGCACAAACTAGAGGAATGTTGCATAAGAATGGACATATGACAAGATAAGGGTGATTTGAATCCATTAGAGAGGCCAGGGAGACAAGTTGCAACATGTGATATGGTAGGTTTCTTGCAAATGTTCATAGGACAATAATGTGCAAATCCAAAAAGAATCACTCCCTCTTCCAGCATCCACTTTTTTTCTTGGTACATGCACGCTTATGAACACAAAAGAGGAAGGGAAATGAATCAAGCATGGAAGTAGAAACTGATATAGAAACCAAAATAACAGGGAATTTGCAAGCGCCAAAAGCAACAAAAAGAAGATGATTAATCTATTTTGTGGATCACAAAAATTGCAAAAAAAAGTGAATACATATACTTCTTTCTTATTACTATTGTCAAAACCTTGGATTCCAAGCTGGATCAACAACAATTACTCGATCCGCTCTAGTAAGAGTAAGCCCAAGTCCTCCAACTTGAGATGTCAAAAGGAAAATAGGAGCACCTAAACCCTCTTGAAATTCCTGAAAATAAAAAGATGATGCAAGAATTGATAACACAAGACTCAGATTGGAACTGATGTTTGCTCCAACATTAAGCATAGGGAGTACAAACCTGGACAAGCCTTTCTCTTTCAGAAGGCTTCGTGGTTCCATCAATACGTAAGAAAGAATAACCTTTTGATCCAATAGCTTCCTAAGGCAACAATTGAAAGATGTGTCACATCAGACAACAGATATGAATTTGATAGATGGGTTTCAAATATGTGCATCATAAATATACAAATTTAAATTTGTGTCATCAATCTATTCATGAGATACGCTGCGAAACCAATGACAGGAGTCCCCACTAGTCACTAGAAATATGTGGTGCATGCAGTACAACCCGATTTGATAGATATGATTTCCATTTAATGCCTACGGATTCTAAATTCACATGATACAGCTCCAAATAAAATAGAAAGAAGATGCCACAGAAATCATACGCATCAATTCTCTAAGACCCCATAGCAAAAGCTAGGCCTCCATCAATCTCAGCACTCTCCCTAAAAACAATAATTGCATCTACTGAATATCATAATATGATGCATATCTAGTTCAACATGGATGATTTTATTCAGGTCCGATACTTCAAAGACGCATACAATGTTCAAAAACAAATGTTGTAGACAGGTACGCAACCGCATTGTGCATCATAGGAGCCAATAGAGGAAAAACAATTACTCCGTGCAAGTCTGTGTGCATGTGTGTGAAAAAAACTATAGAAGTGAACACGCATCTAGCCGCAGTTATAAGCCTAGGCCCAAAAACGTAGCTAGAAGGATTTGTTTGCTGAGATTTGCAAATCTGTGGATCGAAAAAACAAAAATCAAATTTGAGCCTTTGAAGGCCTAGATTTACTATTCACCAAATAGACGAGCCTTGTTAGCTGAAAAATGGCATACGAGGTTTTTCCCACTGTTTCAAAAAGCGGACCGCCCAACACTTGGGCGCCTGCCTGAACCTGTCTAGGCGGCCGCCCAGGGCCTGCACCACACCCAAGGGCGGAAATGCAGCTCCTTGAGGGTATTTAGGTTTATTTGAAACCTAAAACCCATTAGAGGCTATTTTAGAGAGAGAAAACCCAAGAAAATAAATTTTTTAATGGGCCGCCCAGATTTTGGGCGCCCGCCTAGGCGCTGAGCGGCCTGGACCCCCCCGACCGCCTAGGTGCCACCTAGCACTTTTTGAAACACTGGTTTTCCCCATTTCTTTTAGTACATTAAAGTAAAAATAATTTTCTATCTCATGCATAAAATCCACATGTGCAAAAACATTGGGATCTAAAGCACTCTATTTCTAAAGTGGCTAACAATACAATATAAGCCCATTGGCTAATGCCTCTATTGGATTGTTATGATAAAATTTGGATATGCCTCTATTGGATTGTTTAAGATTGCAACCTTATAGATTCTGCACCCATTAATAAAACAATTGGATCGTTTCTTTCAATTGTTTTTAGATGGACCTCATATTTGCATCCATCTTTAAGAACATTTGATAATTGGAACATCCAGGCCCATAAGATAGAAGTTCTAGTAGCCCAATTACATAAATAAGTTTATGGGTAGCTTGGAGGTAGAAATTGAACTTGAAACTAACTGTTAGTATCATCAACCACTAGCCAATCAAGCCCAAGACTGATTCGTGATAACAAGTAGATCAGTTGTTTTATTGTTTTCAACAAACTTCAAGGTTTAAAACCCGTGAACTCCCTCACCCAAACTGATAAGATTACCGCAAATACGGAACCTAAGCAACAAACTAATTTTAGCAATTAAGCTTACTCCTAAAAGAACATTTCAATTAACTATTATATACACAATTATATAAAGGAAATTGCATCAAATGGCCCAATGATGAATAAGTACAACCCTCCAAGTAGCTTCTTAGAACAAATAGTATAGTGGATAGCTGAATGTCCTCATAGGTGATATAACCCTCAAAGTACGGGTCAGTTTGACAACAAAATTTGAAACTTTTTTAATTAACTTTTTTCAACTTGTAATATGAAGAAATGGCATTTGCTATATGGGGGTATTGAGAGAGAAAGAAGAAGAGTGAGAATCATCCAAGAAGGCTCAAAGTTATGTTTCTATTAAACCCACACTATCTTGAGTATGGAGAAACTACGAAGTATACCAAGGGCTTCTATCTCTTTCAGGGTACTAGACTTTAGTAATGAAAAAAAGGGTAGGGGACCTTCTCCCCCACTGACTTATCCAAAAAAAAAAGGTACAAGACTTTGGTAAAAGAGGCTCGGTTCAAGACTTTGGTAAAATTGAGGTTTCCCCTGAAGCATACCCTTTGATCTTTCTGCTCATGGTAATTGCCTGCATTGCCTTTATCTCTCTTCACCAACGTTTTCTCTCTCCAGAATTTCATTTTGGCAGAAAAGGTCCTTATTCAATTCCAGAGTGCACATAATCAAAGCTCTGGACCACCTACTTTTGGTTGTCGTGACTTTCTCCCTCTTCTCATTTTCTCTCTCTAGAGTTTAGGCTTTGATAGTAAGAGAAACTCTTAAGGTACTTCGATTTTCTTTTAATGGAGAGATTTTGGGAAGGTGGGTTTCATTAAAACGCAGTTTTGTGACTCTTTATTCGTGGTTGAAAACATTTTTCTCTCTAAAATGGGGTCCCAAAAAGAGAGATTAACCACTTGTGTACTTTAGATTATTTTTTTTTGGTGAAATAATTAGAGGGTGAGTTTCAAATAACCTAAGGTCTTGGCATCCTCGTACTCGAGTTGGGTGTCTTCTCGCGCTCTCTCTAGATATTGGGCTTTCTAGGAACGCGCCCTTGTAAGAAACCAAAACTCCTTTTGTAGTTCGGAGTTTTTCGACCCATCTGAGCTCTCCATAAGAAAACATTAGTCAGTCGGGTTTCACAAAACCACCATTGGCATCCTCCTACTTGTGTTCATCTTCTTCCTTTCTCTATCTGGAATTTTTATCGCTTCTCTCTTTATAATTTGGGTTCTAAATGAGATAGAAGCCCTTGGTCCACTTCTTGGTTTCTCCACCCTCAAAATAGTGAGGCTTTCATAGAACAAAATGTTTAGGCCCTCTTGGATGCTTCTCTCTCTTCTTATTTCTTGTGCTAGAATTTGGACCCTGTGAGAGACAGAAGCCCCTTTAGGTAGAGAGAGAGTGTAGGGCCTCGAGCGAGAGGGGGATAGGGCATTAGGCAAGAGGGAATGCAGTTAGAAGGAGAGAAAAGAGCATGCAGCTAGGTGGAGAGAGTGTTGGATGTTGGATGTTGGAGAGAGAGAGAGAGAGGGAGAGAGAGCCCACCCCCGCATTTTGCAATTTGAAAAGATTTACAAAACTGTCTTGACTTGATTTTTGTTGGATCACAATTTTGGGCAAGTTTTTTATAACTGAAAGGTTAAGGATTGAGGGAATCAAACAGTTTAAGGGCAAAATAAAGGAAATATTTTTTTAAAATGACTTCAAATTACAATGTAAATTACAATTTGAAGAGGGAATCAAATGGATCACAATATATTGTCATTTAGTCCCTTGGTGGAAAAAAAGGAAGGTATATTTAATGATGAAGTTCATGCTTCTTCTTTTTTATTGCATTAATAGGGAAGAGAGAACTAGTTTATTAGGTCTTTTAATTTTCTTAGTTATCTAAGGGTGTATTATGATTTTTTGTTTATATTCTGAGGGATTAGTTCCATTTTGTTTCACAAACTTATAAAATGGTTATTGGGGTCATCCAATACTAGTTTTACCTGCACAATTCGTAGCTTGCTTGGTATCGAGTGTCGACACGTGCCAACACTTAGACCGTGTCAATACCCACAGACACACCAGTACACTTGACTACAAGTGCCCAAATGTAATTGTTTGGCATTATTCAAACAAGTGCTTAAAGGCTGAGGTCATAAAGTGGACATCAAACCTACAGGCATCGGGAGTTTGAATCTTGTCTATGAACCTTCTTCTTTTTTTTTCTGAGCGTTTTCTATTATATAAAGACAAGGCCGACACAAACCAACCAAGCCGTGGATATGAAACAAAAGAGCTACCACAATCCCACTTTGATGTTATGTAATTCTATGGACAATATTTTATACATATCTTATTCAAAATGGAAAAAATAACCAACAGTGGGGTTTGAACATGCGAAGTCTTACGAGAGATACTTGTTTAAACAAGGCTGCCAACTCTTACCACCATGACATATTGCGCTAGATACATAATTATAGGAAGTTTTTTTATATATTTGTATTAATCCTAAATATTGGTTGTACAAACATAACGGGAAGTACTAACATTTTAGCCTTATGTACTAGACACTCTGACACGTACTAATTAATGACACATGATCAGTATCCATGTAACCATGTCCAAAACCCTATGAGAGCATTACACTTATTGATGGCCCACTTCTCCACACGTGAAAATTTTAAAGATGTTACTTTGTGCCTTGGGGCTAAGAATCCCTCATTCAGTCCTGGCACCGACCAATGGTGTCATGGATAGGGGTGCCACAAATGGTGTGGTAACGTCAACATGTCCAGCTGCTTTAACCTTTCCAAAGAAATTTTGAACAATGGATCAAGATTGTCCTTTTTATTCAAAGGACATTGGAAATGCTTCTCATCTTTCAAAGCAAATCAATAGGCATCATTACCCATGACAAGGTATGAAGAAAAACCTGATCCTGGATCTAATAAACCCAAACATATCGAGTGATGGCTCACTCATCATACTCTTGGAAGTCATTACACATCAAGTAAAACTCTTCCCTAAATTCTCTCACAGATTTGATGTCTACTTCAAAGTGAGCAACTTCAAGTAAAGGGTTGTCCAATAATAGGAAGGCAAGTCATCAACCCTTAGCTTTCATTTGGACCCAAGTGCTAATATTTCTCCTTGCCAATCCCCAAACTACTCTCATGAAGTTGATTCAACCAGATTAGTGCAGAGCATTTCAACGTCATGGCCGCAAATTTCACCTTCCTGCCCTTAAGGAGATCGTTGCATTCAATGAAGTGATCTACACTCTCTGACCACACAAGAAACGCACTAGGATCCAAGTGTCATGAAAGTCCACCATATCGAGCTTAAGCCCATACTCCTGAGATCCTTATAGCACCTTCATAATTCTATCCCCTATTGGCTCTATTCAACAATACTACCTATGACCCCATATAAGTGTTATCCTCATGATGCTCATCTTCCTCATCATTTAGTGTTTTGCTCCTTTCGGAATCACACACACTAGAGTCCTTGCAAGGCTACCTTGGAAGGTCAGGGGGAAGCACCACCTTCATGTCTATAGCCCGCACAAGATGTGCCACCTGCTCCCCAATCTGAACGAGGGAGTCATCATGTTGGTCAAGCCTTTATTGGATGGACAGCTACCATCCACCACAAAAATACCCAGGGTTTTCACGGGATCCAAAATATACGGGGGGGTATACATCATTTTCCCAAAAATTACACGTAGTCAGTGAACCCAGACTGTCCAATAAGTACAATAAATTTGACATTCAGAAATAGGTATCAAAATAGTTTTCTTTTTTATTGTTTATCTTATGAATCAAAGATTTTGCGAATACTCTGGGGTAAAAAATCCATAAACATGGTCTTCTGGCCCTTGAGTGGAGAGCTACAGTCTCTGCCTTGGATGACCATTTCTCCATACGCTATAAAAACTTCCAAACCATGCATGAAATTCTCCCTTAAGGGCATGCAATGTTTTATCCAATTCACATTTTATCTCCGTTCCATTTTCCCTATTAAATCCCCACAGCATCTTCAAATAAACTTATTTCATCAAGCTCCCACAGAAGAAGTATTTTTCATGTTATTACCCAAATAAGTTTGCAAGAGAAAACAAAACCCAATAGTGTACATCAAGTTCAACTTTTATTCAACTCCTATGCCAACCAAGTTTGGACATGGCTTCCTTTTCGAAATGGATCATGTGGGATATAGCAACAGATGATATATGTTTGGTTTCATATTTGATACTACAATTTGTTACTTAGAAAAGCAAGAGAAGCAATTGTATCCATGGGAGATATTGAATGCTTATAACAGAATACATCCTCTATGGCAAAAGCGCACACACAAGAGCTCATGCAAAGAAATAAAGGTCATTTCCAAATAGATAAATACCATTCATATTGCAAATAGTCAAATTTTCTATGGCTCTCACTATATTCATGAGGAAAAAGAAGATGTGCCCGTTACAGCTATATACCAAGAAAGACCTAGTGGCAGATGTCTTTACCAAATCAACAGAAACTTACACACTAAACGCAGAGAAGGACCAAACCTGAATCCAGCTTGGGTAGAGAAGAGTCGGAGACCAGGGAGATAAACCCCCTTATGATATATTAATACATAAAGCCAAATATATTGATATTTGGGATTTCAATAGCCTATCGTATTAAAATTGCAAAGTTTAATGCAAAATCATATAAGAACCATGAATACAACATTTGCATCACATCCAACCTTTAGTGTAATAGCTCCCCATAAGGGACAAACTTCATGTACTGGAGTGAGAATCTCTTACACGTACACAGAAATATCCCTGGACGTACACGATAACATGAAAGCCATAAAAAATAATAACCACACCAAAGAAGGAAACAGCTTCCAATTTGAGGCAAAGAACCATATATGACAAAAACAGATGCAACAAACCTGCACAATATCTAGCATTTTACGCGTTTGAGAAAAGATTAGAACACTGTGATCCTCTGCAATCATGTTCTCCTGTTATGCAAATGAGTTTCAGATCAAAGTCAGTAGTAGGAGACAAACTCAAAGAATAGGGAAACAGTTACAGATTGGAAAAGGTCAAACGATCATAACTAACCAGTAAAGCAATCAAAAAGGAAATCTTGCATGAGACATTGCTTTGCAACTTATCACCACTTTGTGAGGACATCATTTTTGCTAAATGAGAAGCCATTTCATCCACCCTGTAAAGATCATCCTTATTAAGCAACTTCTCCATTCCTTCCAATATATCATCCGTTGCCCTTTTGGTCAACAAAGATGGATGATCGCATATCTTTTTCAGTACCTGTAGAAAGCAAACGAGACGAGAGATCACTCTAGCATTATGCATTAAAAACATAGAAAACGTCCCAACAAAATCAGGAAGTACAAGATGATTAAACACAGCTGAATATTAGCATCTCTGGAACTAAATTTAGATAAAATATCCGCATAATTTCACTGACGGCTAATTGCCTGATCTTGTTAATCACAAGTAGCTCAGATGCTAAATTCTAGAGTAATTACATCACCCTTGAGAGTGTATAGAAACCAAAATACAAGGACTTGCACTTTGACAATGTGTAACAATATGACAATACAACTCGTAAATCTTACAAATTACAACGCAATTCGCATTTCAAGCCTCAATTACAGCAAAATCAGTGAGTTTAAGTCAACAAACACTTCTTATACACTCAAATAAAGATGAGACAACTCAATTTGGGTCCCTTGTCCAAGACAATCTGAAACTACACAAGGAGATCAACAAACTACACTTGGATATATTGCATTTAAAATTTCAGCACTACGCATATTTACAATGCAAAATTATACATCAAATGACTTCATAAACTTCAACAAAACATGATCTCTATATACAAACACACAAATGCAAGAAAACCATGCAACATGACCATGGAAAGCCAATCGACGCTCTCGGGTGCCCATTTGTCGGCCTTAGATCTTAGCTATGTGCCATAGAGTGACATGTGATGGCATATCTCAAATTTCAGCCAAATTCAATCTATCACAAGTGGGAAGCCAAGCATCTACTGACATAGCATCTACTGACATACACTTGAAATATGGAAGGATTTGAAAAGATCAAAAAGATCAAAAACCTAATGGAGCTCGTGGGAGAGTAGGAGAGACTAGATGATAAAACCAGTTTCAAATTTCACAAGTATGGCAAGAGAAAATTTCTCCATAGTCTCCCTTTATAAACTCACCATTTAGATCCATCAAATATAAGGTATATTTGACTAATCTTAATGTCAAAATCTCAGAGAAATATCAGTCAATTAATCTCCTTAATTCACAATAAAATCTCATGGAAAATAGATCAATTGAGCACGATGATTCTCTTAACAATGTAGAACAATATCATATCAAGGAATTATGAATCAAGGATCTTAAAGATGATGAAACCTTGCTGTAATTTGGATTTTACAGCAAGAAGAAACTCTACAAACAATGGAAGAAAGATTAGATCTTACTCAATTGAAGGACCACTTGGTTGCTAGATCACCCATGACTTTGATTGAGCTTGAATTGATCATTAATGGGGCCATTAATGGAGCATTCTCTCACTAGAATGATCACTCATTTCACTCAAGTTTGATCTCATGGAGGAAGAGAAAGAGAGAGAGAGAGAGAATTTGGCTTGAGCATGGCCAAACTAGGAGAGATGGTGAGAGGGTGGCGTCACTTATGGCATGTTTGATAACAGGAAGTGTCTTCCTGGAAGTTTAGAACTTCTTAATACTATTCAAGTTTTGTGTTTGATAAAAAATTTGAACTTCAAAAGAAAACTTCCAAGAAACCGTGCATGTTCCAATATTGCTTTAAAACAAAAGTTCCAACCCAAGGGTTGGAACTCAAACTTGGAACTTTGTTTTGTGAACCCCCGCCTGATAACCCTAGCTCCATTTCGTAGACCAAAGAAGCAAGTCCTCCGCCGCCATCTCTTCACAGAGGTTCGAGCTCTCTCTCCGCCATCTCTCAGACCTCGCGATTCGCAGATAGCCCTCTGTCCGCCATCTCTCACACAGGTTCGAGCTCTCTCTCCGCCACGGTTCGCAAATAGCCCTCTGTCCGCCATCTCTCACACAGGTTCGAGCTCTCTCTCCGCCATCTCTCGGAGCTCGCGGTTACCAGATAGCCCTCCGCCCGCCATCTCTCACACAGGTTCTTTATGCAATGTTTTTGGTTTCCATTGATTATTGAAAATGGGTTTTTTCTTTGATACAGAGATAGATTGTTTTGGCCTAGAGAGAGAGAGAGAGAATCGTTTGGCCTAGAGAGAGTAAAAGAGAATCGTTTGGCTTAGAGAGAGTTTAGGCCTTTAGAGAGAGAGAGATTGTCTTGGCCTTGAGATAGAGAGATTGTTTTGGCCAAAGCCAAGACGGGAGACTCTCTCTACAATCAATTAAGAGCATGAAGCCAAGACGGGAGACTCTCTCTACAATCAATTAAGAGCATGTCCTTTATCAAGGTTTCTCTCTCTGAATTAACATCTTTCTTAGCTTTGAAGCCAAAGTCTCCTCTCTCAATGCTCTAGATTTATTTAGATGTTAAAGACCATGCCTTTAAGGGGTTTTCTCTCCTCTATTTATTTAGATGTTAAAAAGGGACCTGGTTTTTTTTTGGAAAATTTGAATTGAGCAAAAATTTGGGCTCTCCATTTTCTTGTTTTTGATGATTACCTTTATTTTTCTTGGATTTCTTTCGTTTCCTCAGAGACCGCTCTCTCTGCCATCAAACAGGTCCAGAAAGAGCTCAAAAAATCCATTATTCCTGCCCTTTTTCGAGTCATCAACCTCCCACCCTCCATTAACAGGTATGGTTTTTTTTTTTCTATATACCTATTTCCCTTGCTCGAAAAATTAGGGTTTCTCTGTGCGAAGATCTTCTAAGATCCTGTGATATTGGTTGTTTTCACTTGTTTTAGTACTAAAAATGTTTGATTTGGTTTATCATATGTGGGAGAAATTCTAAGTTGCCCATATTATGGAATCATAGGGTTTCCTTATTTTTTGCATTATTCCATTAATCTGTGTTTATTTGTTATTCATTTGATTATCTGGATTCCTTCCCCATGAATTTTGGCAAAAGCCCTAAATTTCATTGGACTGGTGTTTGTTTGTATATACAGTTTCACATCTGCTGGTGTTGATCTCTATATGATTTCCATACGGTGTTCTTTACTCTGGAGCTATGATCTATGTTTACAGTTATTTTTCGATGGACCATATATTTTTTATTGAGCTCTAAATCTATTGATCTCTATGTTTGTTCTTGCTTTTCTTACTCTGAGCTCTGATCTCTGTTTGCAGTTATTTTTAGATGGAAAATATATTTTTTATTGAGCTTTATTTAAACCTTGTTCTACATTTTATATGGACCTTATTTTGTGGCCACAAATATTGAGTCCTCGTCGAATATTGTCTTCATTCTATTGCATTTTGAATTATGTATGTTTAAACTATTACGGGTTATTCTTGAATGGGATGATTTCTTACTGCTTGCATTGTGCATGTGTGTTTGAATAAGTTGATTTCTTAGTTCCTGCATTTTTAATTATGCATGTTTAAACTATAACAGGTTAGTGTTTAACTTAATTAAATTGAGGTTGTGCTTGACATTGTTTATAGATTGCTTTAATTTTGAGGTGCAATGAAGTTTATCATGGAACATTTGCATCAATTGGTGTACAAATGTGTCTCTCTGTAAGACGCTTCTCGCACTCATCAATTTTAAAACTCTCTCTCTCAATCCAACATACTTTACTTTCAATTGATATTGTATTCCAAAAAGTAATATTATACAAATTAATAAAAAATAATTATCTAGATCTCAATTTTAACATTTACATCTTGTCTATTATTTAAAGCTAATCCAATACATATATCCAATTCTTCTTTAACTTCTTAGGAGGTTATCAAACAAGAAACCGGGAACTTCTTAACTTCCCAAGAGGTTATCAAACACAGAAGCCATGAACTTCTTAACTTCCCAGGAGATTATCAAACACAGAAGCCAGGAACTTCTTTAGTAACTTCCAATTTACAGTTAAGAATGAACTTCCAATTTACAGTTCATGAACTTGCTTCCAGTTATCAAACAAACCGAGTGAAGACTCAAGTGTGAGAATTGAATAAGTGAGGGCGTATTTATAAGCTTCTAGCCACCAAGTGTATAGATACTTCTAGATAGATGAATCTAGGCCTTCCATGTCATCATCTTATATCTACCTAGAGAGGCTTGATCCTAGCCCACCATCAACCATCAAGTCATCTTCATGTGTAATATGAGTTTAACCACCTTTATCCTCTTTTTTTAAAAATCACAACTCACTCTAACTCCCCCTTGTATAAAAATAGCCTTGCTCTTTCCAAATAATTAAACTTAAAACCAAGTTAGAGGGCATATCCTTGAGGTAATTATGCAAAATTCCACCAAAAATCAAATTTGACACTTTCTCGCCAGTTTGAAAGAGCATGTGTGGTCAACCAAAACATGCTACATGTACAAGTTGGTTAAGTGCACAATTACCACATACCCTTAGGGTTTAAATTAAAGTATCAAACCCTATGCCCCTTCTAGAAGGGCTCACATATGTGCACACACCCATTTGCTTTTCAAATTTAGCTTGTACCTACATTAATTTTCTAAAATAATAAAAAATAGCACATTTAGATACCCCCACTTGAAATAAAAATTCAACAAAGGATAAAGGGGTCCCATGGAGGGTTGACGCTAACACCACGTAGGGTTGACATGGGACCCCCCATGGCCACGTGGACACCCATTGGCCATTTGGGTGTCCCGTAAGGTTGACATGGGACCCCTTGTGACCATGTGGACACCCATTAGCCATTTGGGTGTCCCGTGTGGGTCATAGGAGTCTGCCATTGATTGTTATTTCGAGAAACCGAAAAACTCATTTTTTTGCCCAAAAAATCCAAAAAAATCTTCAAAAATTCACAAAAATCCTTGTAATCATTTTTCATCAAAATAAATCATTTTAACACTATATAAAAATATTTTCAAGGGGAATTAGGATCCTATGAAGCTGAATTAATAACCAGAGCACTCCACTCGGATAGACTTGGAATCTAAAGTCGCCTTCTCGATATCCCCCAACAAACTCATGACCCACAATGACAGGGGCTCATGAAATAGCTTATCAAAGTCAAACCAATAAGTGACCCTAAATCCCTAAGTACTATTGGATTTCAAGTGCACCCCCTAGAAGACATACACACACATGGTGCAGGGGTTCCTCTCTTAGCACATATGCATACCTCTTACAAGTGGATCCCTCGAAGAGCAGCTTCCCACACTTTGCAATTGTTTATGCATATGCTACGAGAATGTTCTATGTGTCAAGGATTTAGGCCAATGCTCTCTGTTGGCCCTAATTTTCCTGTATATAGCTAATTTGGTCATCGAGCTCGTATCATCGACCACATAAATCATACAAAATATATCACCCTGGCCCGTCACGAGGCTCAAAAACAATAACCAGCCATGACATAGAGGTAACCCTCAACCCTCTTGGTAGCTTCCATACATACGAATCTACTCATGACCCTCTCAAGGTTCCATTACTCTTGGTCTCAGTGTGCCAAGAGTCATGTTGCTCTTTTACTCCAACTGAAGTCAAGTGTTTCCATGTCAGAATATTAAGGCCTTGAAAGGACATAATTCCAATAACCCTTTGATGATTAATCAGCAAGGCACATCGACCACAACATTTGATGGCATATAGTTGTAAAATTCAATACACCAAACCAAATTGGCTCTTTGACATCATTACAAATGTCAGCTTAACTAATTGCAAAAACAAGAAAATAAACTCGTAGTAATTACGATGAAAGAAAACATACACATCAAAAACCTACTAGCAAATACGACCAGTTTTAGCAGTCCAATTAAGGCATCATAACACAATTGGCCCCTTCCCCTCATCAACCCCCAAAAACAAAAAAAAACACAAAAACACGCACAAACACAAATATATAACAAGGAAAAAATATACAAATCTAAAATAAGGGACACAAATATATGGTCAATCTAAAATAAAGGATGGATACAAGTATGCAATATAAAATAAAGGACACAAATATATGGTAAGCACAAATATGCAATTTAAGATAAAGCACAGAAAGACAGATAGACGGATGGATGGATGGATGAATCCATCGATCACTAGATAGATAAATAGATACACAATCTAAGCTGAAGTATGGATGGACAGGCAAACAGATGGATGGACCAATCGATAGATCAATCAATAGATAGATAGATAGTCCATGGTAATGACAAGAAAGCATCCTTAGATAAGAGTTGTCATCCAGCATGAAAGATGTAACGAAGGACATTGTATTCCATTTTTTAAGGAATATATCGGTCACCTTGAGTGTTGTATGATACTGTCCTTTATTACTTGTGAACAATATTTTAAAAATTAAAATTAAAATATTTGCAAAAAAAATTGCATATTGGTGGAAAAAATAGAAAAATTATAGATATCAAGTGTAATGTCAATGAAAGTGCCAGACATTCATTCAACAATTACATAATGAGTAAGATGACTAAATTTGCAGCTAAGGTGAATGGCATGGAGCCTAAAGTCATTGCAATCACGGTCGTACCGACCATCCCGGTAACAATGTAGCAATGACAATGTTACTTAGGGAACTTAGGTGGGCCTACAAGCCAAAAGTTCCCAAGACTAGTCAAGCCCTCGTGCTCACCCGCACCAACTTCAAATGCTTGCTCTCAATGACCTTTGTTATCACCATTATCTAGTTCAGGGGTCTCATCAAGATCGTCGTCGTCATCGACGTCATCATCATCATCATCATCTCCTCCATCTCTTCCTTGTTCCTCAACTTGTGCTCCTCCCTCAAATTGTGCACTTTCTCAAATACCTTCTCATTGAGAAGCAGCTCCTATAAATCCACCACTCCTAGGATGGATCCTCTAGAAACATGTGATACAAAATTGACGGATTTGAAGTCTTTCCTCTTCAGCTAACGCTTCTCAGGGTTCCAGTGGTGGAAGTAGACTAGTTACTATAGCTTGGCAGCAGCCAAAACGTTTCTCCTTCAGGTGCGGATCCACTGAATTGTTTTCCAATTTCGCTCATGCCTCATAACAAAATATATGGTTGAGCAACATGATAGCAATACTAGGTAGGTAGTGAGCTCACTGCTGGAAAAATGAGAAAAACCTCAAGACAATAAAAGAATTCATATGTACCTAAAGACTTTAGAACTACCGTAAATCTAGCTACGTCAAACATTTTGTAGCAAGCTTTATTGTGAATGCATTGCACACCCATACAAAGATGAGGAGAACATCGTGGTTAATGATTTACAAATGTGGCTTATGTAACCCATAAATGGCATGAGTTGAAGAAACTTCTTCATAAAGAATTGTCCCTCACCTCCTTCAGTGCCCCAATCTACTTCTTTCCATCTAGCTCAAATATTTTTACGCAATATTTCACCTCCATCATAATCTCAATGTAATTGATTGTCCCTGCATATAAGGATAACGGTTTGAAGAAGAAACCTAAACAGCACATACATGTTAAGAGAAGCTCTCATGGTTTATTACATTAACCCTAAATATAATTATTATATATTTAGAGGCTAAAACTATTTAATAGCTTTGTGCATTTGTTGGCGCAACAAGCTATTCCATCTGCCATCAATTATCTCCCATGCTTTGTTATGGATGTACATGCGGACTCGATGGCCTACTTTCCTCTCCTTCAATATGATATACAAGAAACCCATCGCAGGCTTCATATCTTGAGCCTACCATCGCCAACGCTACCACAAGAGGATCCATAACTGCTACCATTTGCTTGCACCTATCCTCCTGCTATTGATTATCCCTTCAACTTCCCTTGCATCTTGAGTCCTTAGTGTAGGGGCATTTATTCATTATTCTAACCAATCTAGTGAAGCCTTGACTGCAACCTCAATATTAAATCCATATACAGGAATGAGGTAGCAAATCATGCGATGGCTTAGCCCAATCAGCTGCCTCCCCTTTGTTAACCACTTCATCAAACTAGTACCAACAAGCAGTTGGATATAAATTCGTAATGCTCGCAAAAGCTTTCCACTTTTCACAAACAAGGATGAAAAAGAGAGCCGCATGGCTGCCTAGGCAGCCTGCCCGACGATCTATCTAAAGCCTAGGTGGGGTGTCTAGATATGCCCAAGGCTCATGCCTTGGCACCCACATAAGGAAGGTGGTGGTACCTCAAAAACCTGGGGGGGGGAGAGAGAGACAGTGGAGATGTTTAGCCGGTGTTTTATGTGATCGCCGCATACCAGTAAAGCTGAAGGGCAAGTTTTATAGGACAGTTGTAAGACTAGCTTTACTTTATGAAGAGGAATGTTGGGCGGTCAAGAAACAACATACCCCTAGAATGACTGTAGCTGAAATGAGGATGTTAAGATGGATGAGTGGCAAGACAAGAAAGGATAGTATTTGAAATGAATACATTCAGGAGAATTTACGTGTGGCACCAATAAGCGATAAAATGAGAGAAAGTAAACTTAGGTGGGTAGGCCTGTATGGTACAGACCCAATACAACACTTGTTAGGAGGTACGAGTTAGTTCAAGTAACAGGCTCAAAAAGACCAAGAGATATGCCCAAAAGAATATGGTTCGAAGTGTGAGAAAAGATGGGGACTTATGGCAACACTAAGGGTATGGCTCTTAATAGAGCAGAATGGCAAACTAGGATTCGTTTAGCCGACTCAATTAGTTAGGAAAAGACTTCGATGATGATGATGATATGTTTGAAATATATATACACACATTTGTCATATATATAATATTTTTGAACTATATAATACTTTGATAAATGTGCCTATATATGTATGACGTGTATGTGTGTATTATATATTTGAAATACATTTTTTAATATTTTTTTAGACAAAATTTATCAGTTTCTAAACACGGACTCGAACCAGGTCGGGTCCGGGTCCAAGTTTTGGACCCGACGGGTCAAGCCCATGTCCAAAACCTTGGACTAGAATTGGATCCGGGTTGGGTCAAAGTCCAATTTGACCCGGACTTGACCTGGCCCATTGCCACCCCTAATGCTGCATATGGGAAGGGTTGTTATTGCATTATTTGTCTTAAATTCTCAAAGCTGATATAGTGGTCTAAGGGGCATTATTTCAAGAGAAGGGTCATTATTGCATTATTTTTCTGAAATGGTCAAATATTGCATAGTCGTCTACAGGGCATTCTTTGCCACTGCCATTTACATTGGGGCTATGCAAAGCACTACCCCAAACCTGTGTTTTACATTAGGAATAGAATGACCTCGTGAGGCCTTTATCTTCATTTCTCTTTCTTTTTCTTTTTTAATAACATTCTAACTGCTATAGTTTCAAAAGCTTGAAGCTATGACCAGTGCTTTTAGCAAATGAAGCCTTCGTTTTCAAAAGTCAATTTTCAGGAGGAAAAAAAAGAGCACAAACAAACCCACCTATTAGTGGAAGAAATCTAACGTTTGTAAAATGCCATGAGACAAGTGTAACGAGATTAAAACTAGAGCACCTAGAGTCACATAAATCATCAAATATAAAACAGACTAGAATAGTAACATAGTTACTAAATATAGTATGGTCAAATGCTTATTGTAACTTTTTATGCTTTGATGCTATTAGGGCACCATAATCTTACGACCATATTTGAACAAGGACAAAAAAGATCTAAATCATGTAAAATGACATCCACAATTTCAGATTTTCAACGATGATCCTAATCAAGTATTATTCAAAATTCTCAGAACATAAGGATAAAAGCCAAGAAAGCTAAAACATACCGTCAAAGCAGATAATGCTGATGCACCAAACGATGATTTTTTTTTCTTCTTGTCATCAAATGATGATGTGACCATCTCACTCTCCAAAAATGCTTCATATAGTTGCCTCTAGACCCAAAGAAATACAAATTCCGTGAACATCGAAAAAAAAAATGTCTAGTTACATAGAGTCATATGAAATGCAATGAACTGAACATCAACGATTAGCACCTGATTTTGGCTCAATCTCAACCATATGATCAACTCGTGTTTTTTAGAAAGTTTTGAGGTATTAGTGTTTCCATTGTCAACAAATACTTCACTTTTTAAACGACGCAAGAAATAAGGCTTGATCCTTTCTCGCAAATCCTGAACGCAAATAAACTATGAGTTTATGCTTTTCATACTAATCAATGAGATGTCCAAAAGAAATCATATCAGAGAATCACATGAAACTAGAACTTTAAACAGTCCATGGTACACAGAATACACATTTTGATGGAAGTCTACCAAAGAATGCAAAAAATTTAAAAGCAAAGAATTCACAAAAGAATGAGCATAAGCAGGCGCTATAAAACAAAAGTGCAAGGAGTTACATGGACGCATCAACTCTTTAGCACAATAATGTTACAAAGAGTGCTACACAAGAAAGGAGAGGTACAACTAATCTCCACATGCAAATTAAGGTTGTTAAAGGTAATATAAAATTTAACAGTAACATGTCTCGACCATATAACCATCAAGGAAAACCACTTTGGTAAATGACATATAAATTGGTCTATACACTTAAAGTTCAAGGAGTAGCTGATCGAGTTCTTTTCCATGAATTGTATATGAATAAAGCATGCTTCGTAATGTCTCTAACAGAAAAATCTCAATTCAGGGTGGGAATAAGGGTAAGCGCTAGTACTAAACGGTATAGAGCATTTTAAGTGGTCAATCTTAGAATAGGGCATAATACAAGGGAACAACAAAAGAATATCACATTACATGATAAGATGAACCAACAAGCAACATGCATCTATCACCTAGAGAATCACAAGTACTTTTTTTTACAATCTTCATCAACAAAGCTGAAATATGCCTTTCAGTATTCGTAAATGGTAGGGCCTATGACACTCTTACAGTACGGTGGGGATTTACATCATCAAGTACATGGACAGTGTGAATTACAATACTTCAAATGCTTTACTCATTGAGCAATGCTCAAAAATTTAACTGCAGCAGCAAGGAAAATAAGGCCTAATATAGGCCTAGGCTGGTGCACTCCTAGGGGCCCAAAGGCGCCCACCTAAGAGGGTACCTAGTGCAACCCTGTTTAAAAAAAACATAAGGCTCCTTTAAAAAATAAAAATAAAAAGCTAAGGTTATAAAAATGGTTAGGGCCCCTATCTCTCTAGCCCATGGGCCCATGTGCTCTCTATCTACATATAAAAAGAAACAGATAAAGAAGATGGCCTCCAAGTGTTCAATGCGAAGCCTCTATCTCTTTCACATACACACATATACACACACAAACCCATAGTCTTGCTCTCCTTAATAACGAAGAAAGAAGAAGATGGCATCCAAGTTTTTATACGAGCCATCTCTCTCTCTCTCTC